AGTCTTCTGCCTCTGCCTCCCAAGTAGCTGGGACCACAGGCACCCAGCTATTTTTTTGTCACAGCTGTCATTGTTGTTTGGCGGGCCTGGGCTGGATTTGAACCCACCATCTTAGGTGTATGGCTGGCACCTTAGCCACTTGAGCCACAGGGACCGAGCCAACATCCGGCTTTTTATTTTATTTTATTGTTGCAGTTGTCATTGCTGATTTAGCTGGTCAGGGCTGGGTTCAAACCTGCCACCCTCAGTATATGGGGCCGGCGCCCTACCTACTGAGCCACAGGCACCACCTTGGCTAGAGTGCAGTGGCATCTTCAAAGCTCACTGTAACCTCAAATTTCTGGGTTTGGCGGTGCCTGTAGCTCAGTTAGCAGGGTGCTGGCCATATATACTGAGACTGGCAGGTTCAAACCCAGCCTGGGCCTGCTAAAGAACAATGACAACTGCAACAAAAATTAGCCAGGCAGGTGGCACCTGTGGCTCAGTGAGTAGGGTGCCAGCCCCATATACTGAGGGTGGTGGGTTCAAACCCAGCCCCGGCCAAACTGCAACAAAAAAATAGCTGGGCAAGGGTGGCACCTGTGGCTCAAAGGAGTAAGGCACCAGCCCCATATGTTGGAGGTGGTGGGTTCAAACCCAGCCCTGGCCAAAAACTGATAAAAAAAAAAATTGGGGAGTTGTGGCGGGTGCCTGTAGTCCCAGCTTGAGGCAAGAGAATTGCCTAAGCCCAGGAGTTAGAGGTTGCTGTGAGCGATAAAGTGAGACTCTGTCTCTGAAAAAAAAAATTAGCTGGCCACTGTGGCAGGTACCTATAGTTCCAGATACCTGGGAGGCTGAGGCAAGAGAATCACTTAGGCCCAAGAGTTTGAGGTTGCTGTGAGCTGTGATGTCACAGCACTCTACTGAAGGTGACATAGTGAGACTCTGTCTCAAAAAAGAAAAAAAATTGTGGGCTCATGAGGCCCTCTTGCCTCAGCTTTCTGAAGCTCACTGCAACCTCAAACTCCTGTGCTCAAGAGATCTTCCTGTCTCCACACCCAGTTTTTTCTTAATTTTTTGTAGAGATGGGTCTCACTATGTTGCCCAAACTGGTTTCAAACTCCTGGCCTCAAGCCATCCTCCAGCCTCAGCCTCCCAAAATGCTTGGATTACAGGCATGAGGCACCACATGAGGCTGCCTTCATTCTTACTGTGTCTGTTATGGGGTGATCTGAGATAAGTAAAGTTGCTATCATAACTACTTAGTGTCACCACAAACTGTACGAAATGGCAAACTTCATTGATAAGTGTTAAGTGTGTTCTGACTGTTTCACCTACCAGCAATTTTCCCGTCTCTCTCCTCTCCTCAGCCTCCCTATTTCCTGAGATATAACTATATTGAAATTTGACCAGTTAATAACCCTACAATGTCCTCTAAATGTTTAAATGAAATGAAGAGTCTCATATCTCTCACTTTAAATCAAAAGCTAGAAGCGACTAAGAGATATGAGAAAGGCACGCGGACAGCAGAGATGAGCTGGAGCTGAGCCTTTGGCTCCAAACATTTAGCCAAGTTGTGAACGCAATGGCAAAGCTCTGGAAGGGAATCAAAAGTGCTGCTCCAGGGAACGTGTGAATGATCCAAAAGGAAAGCAACTTGATTGCTGACATAGAGAAAAGTTTGAATGGTTTGGATGAGCGATCAAACCAGCCACAACTTTCTCTCTTAAGCCAAAGCATAAGCCAGAACAGGGCCCTAATTCTCATGAAGTCTATGAAGGCTGAGAGAGGCGAGGAAGCTGCAGGAGGAAAATCTGAAGCTACAAGAGGTTATGAGTTCATGAGATTTAACAAAAGCCATCTGCACAACACAAAATTGCAAGGGGAAGTGGCAAATGCTGATGTAGAAGCTGCAGCAAGTTATCTGAATATCCAGTTAAGTCATCAGTGAAGGTGGCCACACTAAAGATGGCCACAGATTTTCGATGCAGACGAAAAAGCCTTCTATTGGAAGTAGAAGCCAGCTAGGGCTCATCTCAGAAAGGAGAGGAGGAGCAAGGCCTTGCTTCATAGCTTCAAAAGACAGGCTGACTCTGAGAGGCTACTGCAGCGGGTAACTTGAAGCTGACGCCAGTGTTTATTTACCATCCTGCACATCCTAGGGCTCTTAGGCCCCAAAGCCTGGATAACAGCACATTTGGTCACAGCATGCTTTACTGAATGTTAAGCTTACTGTTGAGAACGACTGCTCAGAAAAAAGGATGCCTTTCAAAATATTAATATTACTGATCATTGACAATGCACTTGGTTACCCAAGAGCTCTGATGGAGATGTATAAGGAGTTACCTGTTGTTTTTATGCCTCTGATGTAACATTCATTCTGCAGCCCATGGAGCTCGTAGTAATTTTCCTTTTTGAGTCTTATTATTTGAGTAATACATTTTGTCAGGCTGTAACTCCCACAGAAAATGATTCCTTGGGGCGGTGCCTGTGGCTCAGTGAGTAGGGTACTGGCCCCATATGCCGAGGGTGGCAGGTTCGAACCTGCCCCAGCCAAAAAAACTGCAACAACAACAACAAAAAATAGCAAGGTGTTGTGGTGGGCACCTGTAGTCCCAGCTACTCGGGAGGCTGAGGCAAGAGAATTGCCTAAGCCTAAGAGCTGGAGATTGTTGTGAGCTGTGATGCCACAGCACTCTACTGAGGGTGACAAAGTGAGACTCTGTCTCTAACAAAAAACAAACAAACAAACAAACAAAATGATTCCTCTGATGGATCTAAGCAAAGTAAATTGAAAGGGTTCACCATTCTAGATGCCATTCAGTGCTTTATGGAAGGAAGTAAAAATATCAACATTCAGGGGCATTTGGATGAAGTTGATTCCAATCCTCATGAATGACTTTGAGGAGTTCAAGAATTCAGTGGAGGAAGTAACTGCAGATGTGGTAGAAATGGCAAGAGAACTAGGATTAGACACAGAGCCTGAAGATGGGGCAGAACTGCTGCAATCTTAGATTAAACTTGAACGATGATGAGTTGCTCATCATTAGAGATGAAAAAAGAAAGCGGTTTCTTGAAATGGAATCTACTCTTGGTGAAGAAGCTGTGAACATTTTTTTTTTTTTTTTGAGACAGAGTCTCACTATGTCGCCCTTGGTAGAGTGCCATGACATCACAACTCACAGCAACCTCAAACTCCTGGGCTTAAGTGATTCTCTTGCCTCAGCCTCCCAGGTAGCTGGGACTGCAGGTACCCGCCACAATGCCTAGCTATGTTTTGTTACAGTTGTCATTGTTTAGCAGGCCCAAGGCCGGGTTTGAACCCTCCAGCCTCGGTGTATGTGGCTGGCGCCGTAACCACTGTGCTTCAGGTACCAAGCCACTGTGAACATTGTTGAAATGACAACAGAGGATTTTGGAGTATCACAGGGTTTCAGAGGATTGACTCCAGTTTTGAAAGAAGTTCTACTGTGGAAGTGGGCATGGTGGCTCATGTCTGTAATCCCAGCACTTTGGGAGGCAGAGATGGGAGAATCATTTGAGGCCAGGAATTCCACACCAGCCTGAGCAGCACAGTGAGACAAATGAATAAATGAATACATCAATACATACATAAAGTTGTATTATGGAAATGTATAATGCTATCACATGCTACAGAGAAATCTTTCATAAAAGGAAAAGTCAATTGATGCAGCACACTTCATTGTGGTCTTATTTTAAGAAATTGCCACAGCCACCAGCCTTCAGCAACCAGAGGTCTTGAGCCAAGACCCTCTACTAGCAAAAAAAGATTACAACTCCCTGAAGGTTCAGAAATATGACTATTAACATTCTTTTAGCCATAAAGTGTTTTTAAATTAAGGTATATCATTGCTATGGACTACATTATAGCATACTGTAACTATAACTCTTCCAGACACTTGGGAACCAATACATTCACGTGACTTGCTTTACTGTGGTGGTCTGGAACTGAACCTCAAGGCATTCCTGTGTATGTGGACATACATCCACCTTCCATCCTATTGCTTCTGTTTCTCTGCAGAACCTTGAGAAATACACTACCCCTTCTATATACAATGAAGCAGTGTAACGGAATGGCATGTGTAGAAAATTAGAATTCAATATCGACTCCCTCTCTACTGTATTGTATAATCTTTGGGTGAATTACTACTCCCCTTCTTAAAATTGTAAAGTCTTCATTTGTAAAATGTTGCGACCTATCCACTGCAGGAGATGGTGGGAGGATTAAGTGAGATAACAAATGTAAGGCACCTGGGACACAGTGGGTTCTCAATAATCCTCTTCCATTATGTGACATACGCTACAAATATGAGAGTTATTTCTTTTCTTTCCTTTTTTTTTTTTTTTT